CAATGCCTCAACACCAAAGGAATTAACAATCCAGTTGAAAAATGGGCAGAAGACATGAATAGACACTTCACCAAGGAGGATATTCAGGTGGCCAACTAATACATGAAGAGATGCTCACAATCATTGGCCATCAGAAAGATGTAAATCAAAACAACGAGATACCATCTCACCCCAGTACTGATGGCAAGGTTCAACGAGACAGAGAATACCAAATGCTCGCGGGGATGTGGAGAGATTGGCACTCTCATACACTGCTGGTGGGACTGTGAAGTGATACAACCATTATGGAAAGTAGTATGGCGATTCCTTAGAAAGCTGGAATTGGAGATACCATTTGACTCAGCAATCCTATTTACTAGGTATATATCCTAGAGTGGTGAGAGCCAGGACAGGAACACATATATGCACACACTCATGTTCATCGCAGCACTATTTACAATAGCAAAAAGATGGAAACAACCTACGTGCCCATCAGTGGAAGAGAGGATGACTAAACTATGGTACATACACATAATGGAATGCCATGCAGCACTAAAGAATAATGTAGAGTCTGCAAAACACTGCATAATATGGATGAACTTGGAGGCCATTATGCTGAGTGAAATAAGTCAATCACAGAAGGATAAATATAATATTAGTTCACTGTTGTGGAGGGTCAAGGAAAGGTTTGTATATGGAAGGAAACTTTCTTTGTTGGTTGCCAGGGGTGGCAGGGGAAAGAAGGGAACACTGAAAAAAAAAAATGCATTGACCCATGTCACTTTAGGTTTGTGTATTTCACTGTACATGAATTATATTTCAATAAAATTCACTAAAAAAAAAAAAAGTGGGATAGTGACTTGAAAGGAAAAAGCATGACATGAACAGTAAAAATAGAAAACTGACTTTATTTCATAGCTGACAGAGAAGGCTTACAATCTATCCACCCATGGACATTATAGTTCTATCACTCAAATCAAAACATATCCCAAAGACTTAAAAATAGACCAAAATGTCTGAAAAACAGGAGAAATAGGAAACTTTTAACAAGTCGGGTGTGATTTAAAATATGGCACAGCTGACTTTTCATTAAAGATATTATGT